GTGGGAGTCCAACAACATAGCCATTATGCTAACTGCTGGTTCCGTGTTTGACCCTTTCTAAGAGGACAGTCTGGGAAACTTTTTTTTTTTTTCAAAGGTTTTTGCTATTGGGCACGTATGCTCACTGGAGAGATACAGAGAGACAAAGTGAGAAGTCACCCCTAGTGGGGATGGCCACACCACAATTCTTCTCCATTCTCCTCCTGGGATTTTGGGCATGCACGTACACACATGTAATTTTCTAGCTGCCGGGTCTGGGACTTGAACTGCGTAGTCAGCCATGTGAGAATCCAGCACCTTAACCACCACACCACCTGCTGGTCCTTCGAAAAATGTTTTCAATAGGAGGAACCCAGGTCAAAACACTAAGGAAGACCTTTCGGCCTTCTCTTTTCTCCCTCCAGGTCGGGCTCCTGAGACCAGAAGCCTGAATTTGGAGAAGGCCGGAGTAAACACCAACCCCGAAAGTCAGAAGATCCTGGTGGATGCCCGGGAGGCCACCTCCGTCCCTCACGTGTACGCCATTGGAGACGTGGCGGAGGTATGGCTGTGCCCTGGTGGCTGGGCGCCCCCAAGCCGGTCTGGGACGTGTGGGCAATGGTGGCTGCTGTCCTGCAGGAGAGTGTTAGCCCGCCTCCCGTCCCAGGGCCGCAGGGTTCGTGTTCGGCACAGCGGGCGTGGAGGGTGGGAGCAGGCAGCCGGAGCAGAGTGGGCAAAGTCCTCTGGGAACCCCTGGTGGGTCAGGTCTGCAGGACAGCCTCGACCTCCCCACAGCAGGCCCGGAGGCGTGGTCTCACGGAGGGCCCAGCTGCACACGGCCTTAGGGCCGTCCCATCCCCACGGGGGCTGAGCTGAGTCCCGGTGCAGGCCCCCTTTTCACCCTGGCCCTCCTTGCCTCAGTTTACCCTCTGATCTGTGGGCAGGTTAGTGCCCTCTGTGACTGGGCCGCCCCAGACGAGCAGGGCCTCCGCTCCCTGTAGCTGTCACGAGAATGACGTAGGGTTTCCTGGGTGGGATGTCTCCCCGACCAGGGAAGGTGCTGAGCTCTGCCGCCCCCAGCCACTGCAGCCACACCCTTCCCTCGATCCCGCCCCTGGAAAGCAGCCTAAGCACGTCCCGTGGCAGTGCCTAGAGGACTCCTCCACCGCTCCTCACCCCCCGACTTGGGAGACGCCCCGTCTGTGCCCTGTCCCCACGGACCCCCAGTAAGAGACCTGGCTGTCCCGAGGCCCCGTCCACCTGGCCCGGCGGCGGTGTCAGTCGGGGCGTCAGTCGGAGGGTCGTGCCCCTGCAGTTCAGGAGCTGTCAGCCAGTCCCTCCTGTGTCCACCGTGCCCTGAGGAAGGTGGCTCAGAGGGTCCCTGGAAAAGCCAGCCTGAGACATGCTCACTGGGTCCCCGGATCCAAAGCCCCTGAGCAGTGAGACCTGCTGGGCCGTCCATGTGTGTGTTTGTGTCCAGTGGCTCCGTGACAAACCATGAACTGGGCAGCCTAGAACAGAACAGCAGCGAGTTTTGGGGGTGCACTTGTAGAGAGAGAGAGAGAAGGAAAGGGAGAAATCACCCCCCGGGGGAGTGGCAAGCCGCCA